AAAAAAAAAAAAAAAAGCAAAACAAAACCAAAAAAAACCTACAAATCAATAAGAAAAACACAAACAACTCAAATGATCAGGCATTTCCCAGAAGAGGAAATTAAAAAGGCTAATAGGTATATAAAAAGATGCTCAACTGCACTAGTAATCAGAGAAATGCCAGAAGAATCCACATGGAAATACTATTGTATGCCCTCTAGAATGGCAAAAATTAAGAAGTCTAAAAATACAGGTGCTGGGGAGAATGTGGATCAATTAGTATTCAAATATTGATGAAAACTGGTCAGGCGCAGTGTAATCCCAGCCTGTAATCCCAGCACTTTGGGAGGCTGAAGTGGGCAGATCACCTGAGCTCAGGAGTTCGAGACCAGCCTGGCCAACATGGCAAAATCCTGTCTCTATTAAAAATACAAAAATTAGCCAGGTGTGGTGGCACATGCCTGTAATCCCACCTACTCAGGAGTCTGAGGCAGGAGAATTGCTTGAACCCAGGAGGTGGAGGTTTCAGTGAACCAAGATTGTGCCACTGCACTCCAGCCCAGGCGGCAGAGTGAAACTCTTATCTCAAAAATAAATAAATAAATAATTTAAAAATTGGTGAAAACTGAAAACAATTTGGCATTCTCTTTCAAAGCTGATTTTTTTTTTTAGACAGAATCTCACTCTGTCACCCAGGCTGGAGTGTAGTGTTGTGATCTCAGCTCACTGCAACCTCTGCCTCCAAGTTCAAGGGATTCTCCTGCCTCAGCCTCCGAGTAGCTGGGATTACAGGCATGTGCCACCATGCACAGCTAACTTTTTTGTATTTTTAGTAGAGATGGGGTTTCGTTATGTTAGCCAGGCTGGTCTCGAACTCCTGACTGCAAGTGATCTGCCTACCTCAGTCTCAAGAGTGCTGGGATTAGGGGCGTGAGCTGCAGCGCCAGGCCAAAGCTGATTTTTCTTATACCTCACAACCTAGCAGTCTCACTCCTAGGTATATACCTTAGAGAAACTCTTGCACATACACAAGAGAGAAATACAATAATGTTCACAGCAATAATGTTTATAATAGCAAAAAAAAAAAAGCAATTCATAAATGTATCAGCAGGAGAATAGATGAAGTATTATCTATTTGGTATATTCACTCGGTAGCATTTACCCTCCAGTGAAAACATGAAGTGCAGCCACATGCAACAATATGGCTAAATCCTGGAAATATAATAGTGAGTGAAAAAACAAGTAAACAGTGCTAGAAGGCTACATATAATATGATTTTATTTACCGATTTATTGAGACAAGGTCTGGCTCTGTGGCCCAGGCTGGAGCGCAGTGGTGCAATCTCGACTCACTGCAGCCTCAACCTCCCAGGCTCAAGTGATCCTCCCACCTTAGCCTCCAAGTAGCTGGGATTACAGATGTGTGCCACCATGCCCAGATATTTTTTGTAGAGACGGGGTTTTTGCCACATTGCCCAAGCTGATCTCCAGCTCCTGGGCTCAAGCAATCCACCTCAGCCTTCCAATGTGCTGGGATTACAGGCGTGAGCCACTGCACTTGGCCCTATTTATTTATGTTTTGAGACAGAGTGTTGCTCTGTCACCCAGGTTGAAAAGCAATGGTGTAATCATAGCTCACTGCAGCCTCAACTTCTGGAGCCAAAGAGAACTTTCCACCTGAGCCTCCCAAGTAGATGGGACTGCAGGCATGTACCACCACATCCA